GGAAGGGAAGGGAAGGGAAGGGAAGGGAAGGGAAGGGAAGGGAAGGGAAGGGAAGGGAAGGGAAGGGAAGGGAAGGGAAGGGAAGGGAAGGGAAGGGAAGGGAAGGAAGGGAAGGGGAGAGGAACAGAGGGGAATGGTGGGCAGGGGAGAGGAGAGGAGAGAGAGAGAAAGAGAAAGAGAAAGAGGGAGAGAGAGAGAGAGAGAGAGAGAGAGAGAGAGAGAGAGAGAGAGAGAGAGAGAGATGGAGAGGGAGGGAGAAAACATCGATAACATAGATAATCCATGAACAGCCACAGGAAAACAAAGTCACTTTTGATTTGAAAAATTTCTTTTGAATCTAACAATTACATTGTAAGTCCCCCAAATCAGCCAATTTTCTTCTTCTGAATTTCCAACCCAGTTGTATGGAATAAAGCCAAGTTCCAACTGTTGGCACCAAATCAATTTGTAATTGTCCCAAATAACATGTTTTTCACAGAACAAATTGTTAATCTCAATTAGTAATGTCAGACACACCCCCTTCAACACAGAGAGACAAATCCATTCAGTTTAAAGCTCTGGGAACTGAACTGAGTTATTCATATATCCAGGGATCTCTCCTATAGGTAAATAAGTCTACAGAAACTTATAGGCCTCTATAGGAACAATAATGGCTTTCATTTAAGTAGCACATTAAGGACCTCCACAACTACCTCATGAAGTAGATAATGAAAATATTATCACCCCCATTTTAGAGATGAGAAAATTGAGGCTCAGAGAGTAACTTGTCTAACATCACACAGCTACTAAATAAAAGAGCTAGAACTTTTTTTCCCTTTTTTTGCCTCTGAATAAAGCTATATATATACAAAATCCAACACATTATTTTACAACCATAACTATAAATTATATACATGGTTTATATGTAATCATAAACTATATACATCTATATCTACCATATATATATATATGTATATACATACACACATATATTCTAATCTTCTAGGTGTGGGGAACCTGCAGCCTCAAGGCCATATGGGGCCCTCTAGGTCCTCAAGTGTGGCCCTTTGATTGAATAGTTCTGTGAAGTTTGGATTCAGTCAAAGGACCCCACATGTGGCCTCAAGGCCACCAATTCCCCACCCCTGCCATAGTCCATTGGATATAACAGAATCTCAGAGAATCTCCAAATTGGAAGGGACTTTTGGACGCTGAGTCCAACTTCTACTTAAACAAGAATCTTTGCCTACAATATACACAAGTTGTCATCAGCCATTTGTTAAAGACATTTATTAAAGGGTAGGGCAGGGGAGGTCACCAAGACCTGAGGAAGTTCATTGCTCTCTGGATGGCTCTAACTATTAGCAAGATTTTCTTTAGGTTAAGCCTAATTTACTTCTTTTTAGCTTCTACCCATTGCACCTAGTTTCGCTTTCTGGGGACAAACATATATAAACGAAATCACTTTTTCACAAGCTTGTCTTTTTAAATACTCAAAGAAATGTATTATTCCCCCACTGAAAGCCTTGTTCTAGTCTAAAGGTCTCCAGTTCCTTCAATTAATTTTCACACAGCATGACCTTAAGACCCTAAACTATCCAGGTTGTCTTCCTCTGAGTACTCTCTAGTTTTTCAATATCCTTCCTAAACTGTGATGCCCAGACATGCACTCAATATTCCAAATACAGTGTGACCAAGGCAGAGTTGAACAGGATCATCATTTCCCTGGTTTTGGACATTTGGCTCTCTATGCAGCTGGTAGCACTAATTTATTAGACTAACATATCATACTCCATTCAGTGGCTCAGGCATTTAGTGTTTGGTGTTGAGAAAGCCATGCTAATTCCGTTCCCAGGTGAGCCAGTTAATTTCATGAGAGTCTATATCGATGGAGGCTACCCCACACTTATGATGTGCTCTGCCCCCAACTTTGGCCACAAGGAGAAGGAGTAAAAAGGACAGATTGAACAGTCAAGCATATCCCTACTACTGAAAAAGAAAACTCAAAGTCTATAATGTTTTAATTATGCTTCAATAGCATCATCTTTATTTATATACCATCTATTACCTACTTATTTGGGAGTCCTTTATGAGTAAAGATTTAATTGTAACCACCTGTTGGCTTACTAGAAAGGACCAAGCTGTGTCAATTGACACTGCAATTTCTTTTTATCAATTAAGGCAAAGAAAATAGAGCTAGTAGGATGAAAAATTTAAAGTATAATATCTCATAATTATTTATGGAACAGCTAAGTGGCACAGCGGATTGAGTACCGGGCCTGAAGTTAGGAAGTCTCATCTTACCAGCTATGTGACCCTGGGCAAGTCACTTAATCTTGTTTGCCTCAGTTTCTTCATTTGTAAAATGAGCTGGAGAAGGAAATGGCAAACCATTCCAGTATCTTTCCCATGAAAACCCCATATGGGGTCACAAAGTCCAAAAAAAATTGAACAACAATAAATTATTTGTATTTAAAGTACATTTGTCCAGACAGAATAAATTATAGTAAAATTATTTTTTTAAATGCATCAGTTGATGCACTTGGTCCTTCTAGTGTTAAAGTTATGTTGATCAAAGTCTTTCATCTGTTTTGTATTGATTCCTGATTATTTTTAGCAAAGGAAGAGGTTTGTAGGCAAAATTCTCCACTCCACTTTCTATTATCTATCGACCTCTCATCAGATTGTGGCTTAGTTGTTGTGTGTCTTTAAACTTTCTTCAGTGACCTTGGGAATGACTGCTGGTGATCACAACTCCTTTGTTTACTTTATTACCTGAGTCATCCCTGTTAAGATTTGCTCTGAATCAAGCATCCTTCTGCCACTGAGAAAGTGAAGGTATGAAGTTCCTTCCTCAGGCACTGGGTCAGTCTGCAGGAAAAGCCTTTTAAACTCAAACATTAAATTGTATTGCCCATTCCCCAGGGGTATAAGCCAGAGCACCAGAAGACTTAGGGAAAGCAGAAAGCTCTGCTCCCACTACTTCTCAGAGAGAGAGTATGCTGAGCCAGGGTATTAGGATGGAGTTCAGTAGCCTAATTCCAGTAGAGAAAATAGTTGAAAATAGGTCCTTTAAAAAAAAATCAGCATGATTTATATTCAGTTTTTCATGTCATTGATTCCTAAGATATTAGCACACCCATATTTAAATATAGTGATATAGATAGAAATTGGACCTGAGATTTAATTCGCATATAGAACTTCCTTTGAAGAAATTTGCTCTACCAGTCCATGTTGGAACCTTCTTTGTAATTTATGTGAAATCATTAGCCCAGGGGCAAGAGTTGAGACTTGAATTCAGGTCCTCCTAGCTTCAAGGAGAGCTCTCTATCTACTATACCAGAAGTGGGGAACCTGCGGTTTCGAGGTCACATGTGGCCTTCTAGGTCCTCAAGTGTAGCCCTTTGACTAAATCCAAACTTCACAGAATAAATCCCCTTAATAAAAGGATTTGGGGGCAATTAGGTGGCACAGTGGATATGTTGCGGTCTGAGAGATTGAGACCCCTCAAAGACTGGAGTACAGGATGGGTCGTCTGGAATGAATTCACAGACTCAAGCATTCTTGAAGTCAAGGTGGCAAAGATTTATTGTTAATTTTCAGCGGGCAAGGATTCTTAAGGATCCTGCAACCTTAGAGTGGTACAGTTAAAGTTTATATAGGATAAAATACAATAAAACATGTGCCAAATATGCTAACTAGATGATTCAGGATGGGATTAGGGAATGGTTAAGGAGTGGTCAGTTCTTAAAAGAATATGTACTTCTTGTACCTACTGCTCAGGTGTTTTACCCAGAGTTCACTAGGAAAAACCTATAAGGGGAGGCCACATGGAGGTGTGGTTTTAGGCCTGCTAAGTCACTAAGTTAACTAGCAGTCAAGGACAACTGAGAGTTGTCCAGTCTGCCACCAATCAATGTCTTGTTTGACAAGATAGATGTAGGGAATATATATATGTCTTAAGTCTAGAATACAGTTAATGAGGAGCCCAGGATGTAGATAATGAGGTAGGATGGTAGTATAGATGGTCCAGTGGGTCAGAATGGCTTTATGATCCAATGCGAAGCCAGTTCAAACTAATAATTCCTTCAGGGGCTGTTTGTAACTGTACCAAGGAGACAGATAAGGGTCTTCCTGGGGCCCACTCATGAGTAATTGCTAGGCACAGTGTCCTTGGGCTGGGGAGAAACTGTCAGGGATACTGTTTCTGAGGCTAGGGAGAAACTGGGGTCCAAGCACAAGCACCCAAACACAAGCACCCAAGCACCCTATCAGATAGAACACCAGTCCTGAGGTCAGGAGGATTTGATTTCAAATCTGGCCTCAGACCATACCCTTGACACTTACTAGCTGTATGACCTTGAGCAAGTCACTTAATCCCAATTGCCTAAAAAAAGAATGATTTGTTCTATAAAACTTGGACTCAGTCAAAAGGCTGCACCCCAAGACCTAGAAGGCCACATGTAGCCTCAAAGCCCCAGCTTCCCCACAGGTGCACCAGTTCTCATATTTGAGTGAAAGTACAAAAATTCAATCAAAGCAAACCAGTGATTTGGAGATTATATACATAACAGTTTCTCCCTCTTTTAGCCCTGATAATTGAGATTTTCAAAAGTGTGGAAATTACCAGTGTGCTATTTCCAGCATTGGTATAAATTACAAGCTTGAAGTCTTTCTTGCCTGGCACTCAGAGATGCTAAGTGACTTACTTATGGTCACAAAGTTAATTAGTTGGTAAGCTATGAATTCAGATCTTACTGATTCCAATCAAGCATTTGACCCACTTTACCCTAGTACCTGGATAGAATTAATTTTTAACTTTTTTTAAAAAAATTAAAAACTATTGAAAGTATTGATGCTTCTCAGATAAGAACTTCATAAATAATTGTCTGAGAAAAGTAATTAGATTTTACTTTTGTTTTGTATAGGTTTCTTTCTTTAAAACACAGTAAGAATTAGTCTTCTGAGAAGAAGTGGAAGAAAGGTTTTAAAAACATAAAGAAACATTTAAAAATATTTACCTCATTGAGTTCGCCTTCTGTATTAAGAAATTCTGTGACTCCACTGATAAGCTTGGAATTCATAAATAAAGCTTCTCCATATCTCCAAGAAAAGAAAAAGAAATATTTCAATATCAGCAGATGCAATGATTTCAGAAGTGTCATGAAAAATTTTCATAATCCCATTGAAGGGTTCCTCCACACAAATTCCTCATCCTCATCCCTGGCTTCTGGTTGATGCCGGCTGGGTATTGGTCAATACTCTTTATTCTTTTGTTTACAGAACCCATAAGATGAAGAGACTCTCACTATTTGGCTTCTAGGCATGGGAGTATACTTCAAAGGAGACTCCTTGGCTTTCAAGTTAAAATTAAACTTGAAATGCTGAAATGAAGTTGTACTACGCTCCCAAGTCTGTCCTTAAAGAGGAAAACCTTAATGCTTTGGAACATTAAAGTAGTTCAGCTGCCTGCAACCAGGGCTCTGCTGGAGAATGAAAGGGCCAGTATGTATATGATCTTAGCACGCAACCCAAGCTCACCGCTCTTTTCAGAATCTACTCTTTCGTCTTTAACAGTCATTATTTTTCCTAGTGATGGCCTCCAGATCAAAAAAAAGCAAACCAAGCTCCCCTTTACATTCTGCTGACAACAGCTTCTAGTTTTTGGATTCCCAAATAAACTAAGACAACTACAAGGATGTTGTAACAATTCATTTCCTTTTCCACCAATTTAGCTAGGTTGAACTATTAAGACCTTTGCCACACAGACTTTTCTTTACAGGAAGGCAGGTAGTTCTACCTATGTCTTGGGTTTTCTATGACCGAAATGAACTCTGTCCTTACCACCACCCTGGCATTCTTCAAGATTCGATTCAAATGCTTCTTTCAGTAGGAAGCCTTTCTCAGTCCCCTACCTTGACCTTCACCTTAGCCTACCCCAATTGTTAGACTTCCTCTCCAAGATTATCTTCTGTCTCCTCTATATGAAGTTTATATTCATTTCCATGCTTCCTTCTACCATTAGAATGTAAACTCCTTGAGGACAGGGTCTTTTTTTTGGGGGGGGAGATCTTTTTTTTTGCAAACCCAGCTTTTACTACAATGGGCCTGATATATGCATATATATATGTAAGTACTAAATAAATGCCTGTCCGTTGCTTCTAATACTTCTTTGTCATTATGCCATCAGTCAAATCTCTTAAGCGACTTTTTACAAAATCAGAAAAGCCCTGTTTTATGAGGTCAGCTAACATGGTTTCAAAACAAATTTCCATTGAGGTGTATATCCCAAATGAAAAGGTAAAAGAGTTATGTTATCTTAGAGACTGGCACCTCTTCAAACACATCAAAACTGTAAAAAAGACGTAATGCCCGAACTCTGTGTTACAAGAAGTGTCTGTACACTCTCATTTCCCATTCACTCAGGGTAAAACACTTATAAAAATGAACAATAGCCCATGTGCCCAAAAGGAATCAGAATAAAACCAGTTTAGAGAGTGATAGGGCCAGCTAGGTAGTGTAATAGATAGCATGCCAGGCCTGGTGTCAGGAAAACCTGAGTTTTCTAATCTAGGCTCAAACACATACTAGCTGTATGACCCTGTGCAAGTCACTTTACTCTGTTTGCCTCAGTTTTCTGATCTGTAAAATGAGCTGGAGAAGGAAATGGCAAACCACTCTAATATCTTTGCAAAAAAAAAACCCTAATGGGGTCACAAGAGTCAGGCATAACTGAAATGACAGAACAAAAATCAAAAAGGGTGATTTAATGACTTTTGAAAGGGCAGTTTTATATCTTGACTGCTGGAATCTTATTGGTGTATGGAGGACAGATAGAGACATATTTACTTAAGTCTGCAGATGTGTGAAGCAATAGAAAGAGGCCTAGGGGAATCAGTCCCAGTAAATTTGAAGACCCTTTAAGCCGAAACTTTTTTGAGCCCTGGACTTACTCAGTCTTTCCATAGCACCAATTATCATAATCCATAAAGAATAGGCACCAAATGGTATTTAATTCAATACAAAGATGTTAAAAATGATTTTCTAGGCCATTGTTAATGAAAACCCTTCATCTACTTTATATGTAAATAAACTAATGCTCTGAATAACATTATCCATGAGGTCCATGCTGTAGCCCTGACCATCTTATAAGTGAAATGTGTCTCACACTAGGATATTTTTGGATATTCTAATAGTAACAATACTAAACCCTGGCTGGAACCTATGTGTATATGCTGAATTCTAATTTACAAAAAAAGAGTATTAGCAAGAAGTTCTAGTGCTTTTTTTTTTTGTCATGAAGACTTTGCCTCTTTGGCAGTGTGGTGATGCCTCCGGATTCCTATATAATGTTTTGAAATTCACAAAATACATAGGATTATGTATGTAATATGTATGTATGTACTTATGTAATAATTATATTATTACATATATTATAATATGATTACATATAATACATGCATATAATATATTATATAATAATAATATAATTATGTATGCAATGAAGGAAACCAATTATACTGAAATACTAAACATATATTTATATATGTTACATGTACTATACAATTTGTAAATTTTTATAAATTTAAATTTATGTATTCATATACGTATGTTTGAAAACAAGTTCATGGATGTTAGATTAAGAACCCCCATTTCTTAGTATTAGTAGGAGTTTGCTAATTTGAAATAATTTTATTTTTGAATATATATCATTATGCCAATTTTTTTTAAGAATCTCTCAGACACATGGAATCTTTTCACTACTAAAGCTGCCCACCACTCAGGGTTCTACACTGAAAATGCAGATAAGAAAACCTATATTCCAGGTGTATAAATACTTTTATTTGACAGTGAGATATCTATATGTCCAAGAGCACGTTAAGATTAACACGTCCTCTTGGAAAAGACCTCTTATGTTCAAGGGACTGATAAAGATGTACTTATATATTATGAAACTCAGAAGACATTTCTTTCTTTCTTTCTTTCTTTCTTTCTTTCTTTCTTTCTTTCTTTCTTTTAGAAAGAAAACAACTCATATTATGAAACAGAAGACATTTCTTTCTTTCTTTCTTTCTTTCTTTCTTTCTTTCTTTCTTTCTTTCTTTCTTTCTTTCAGAAAGAAAACAACTCTTTCTCTAGACAATCCTGGGACAGTTAAATTGAGAAAGAAAACAATTGCTCTTCAGACAATTCTTATCCTTCTATCCAGTATGTACATGCTTGATTATAAATTCAATTTTCAAGCACGACAGAGATAATCACTGCATTAAATTAACATTTTATTAGAAAATATTCAAATATTTAATAAAATCAAACACATGAGACTAAAGAAATCTCACCATGAAACAAGGAGCTTCTATAGGGAATATAACTGTGTCTAGAAACCTGAAAAATTACATAGACTCCCTTAACCACAAAACTATCTATTTCATGTATTGCCTGCTCGTGTTTTTTAAAGATACTCAATAGGGTTAGAGGATAATTTCTTTAGAGCTGGAAGGGACCATAGAGACTACTGAGTTCAATTCCCTCATTTTAAAACTGAGGAAACTGAGGCACAGAAAGGTAAAGAAATTTTCTTAAGTTCACACAGCCAGTGTCTAAGATAAAATTTAAACTTAGGTCTTCATGACTCCAGGTCTAGCCCTCAATGCACTATACCATATGTCCTCCCAAAAATCCTTCCTAGATAATTAAAATTTTGCCCAGTTATCATAATGCCTACATACTTCCTTTATGTTAGTCATTTCAGTTATGTCTGACTTAGGGTACTGCAAGTAATTCTAAGTTTCATGGAGGTAGACCCTAAAGCTTTGTTTGATCTAGCCAGAAGCCCCCTTTTTGGCTTTTGGTTACCTCAAAAAACATTGGGTTTTTGTGGGCCACCATCCATATATTTATTCAGGTATGAAAGTGTTATCTCTTGTTTCTACCTGGTATTTAATATCTTCCATTTATCTCTGAAAAACTTCCATGCAAGATCTCTGCCATGAGGATTTCGAGCTACGTGGATTATGACGTCAATTGCATCTTGATCCAATACAACCTCGGAATTCAGTGATAGATTCAGAAGCCTTTAAATATAAAATGAGGGTAGAAAGATAAGAAGTAGATGATTTTTAGTCAGTTGATACTTTTTCATTGGAGACAATCTTGTTTTACAAAAGTGTAATTGAATTTGTCACATTCTTCAGAGAGGAGTCTAGGGTCAAAGGAGTCAGACTAACATTATTTAATAAGAAATAAATTAACTGGATTACAATTGAATTTTAAAAAACTACTAGGCCAGATTGACTTGGCCTAGAGGCTTTATGCATGACATCCTTGAACTACATGGTGAACTGTGCTTTTCAGAACTACTCTTTATATATTGCCATTTATTTGATCATTTCAAATTTAAAAAATTTAGTGTTCCTAAAGTGGAGTTCCTTCCTTTATAAAATAAAAGTTGTGGCCATAATTGTTTTCTTTAATTTAACTGGCTAATATTTCTTTAACACTTAAAGTCTCCATGATTTTGTCAGTACTCCTCACAACCCTTCTATGCCTAAGTGGTCTATTTTGGGGAGATGCTGGGTAACAAAAAATAATGGTCAACTGATGAAAAGCCTCACTGAACGCAGCTAGGCTGATCCTTGGCTTAAAAAACAAGTTAGCACTCAATCTTCTAGTTTTCAGGACCTGTCAGAGGAACCATTCATCTAGCAGATTCCTCGAGGACCCAAGGTCCCCTGTTGGCCAGGAGGAGAGATTAGAGAGGGACATTAGTCAAGGATGCTAATATGACCACATACATATTTAAAGAACTTGAATGACTCACCGATTTAATAAGTTTCTGTCATCGCTACAAGTTAAGGCTTCCAATAATATTTTCTTCTCAGATACTGCTGTTGTAGAGTGGAATTTCATCCAGATGAACTCCCAGACATCTTCATCTAATAGCGAAACTCCCGTACAATAGACAATATCTCTGACATTTAGAGGTATTCTAAAGAAGTAACACATAGTGGTGGTCTATTAATAAAGCTTTAAAATCCAACAATACAGAAATCTTTTTTTCCAGTCATTGTGTAAGACTATAATTAAAATGAAGGTAACATGAGAATGAAGCCTTACCTGAAACAATACGTTATCTAAGCACGGTGTCTAGAACACAGTAAAGGATAGGGACTGGATCTGTGATTTCTTTGATTCAGGGAACTCCCAAGTAGGGAAACTCCTGCCAATGCAGGTTGGTACCTTTTACACTACTTATACTTTTAGAGAGCTACCTAGAGTACTGGAAATAAGTTAAATTACTTGCCCAGAGTCACACAGACAATTATGTATTAGAGATAAAACTTGAACCCAGGTATTCCTGGCTTAAAGACTATGTCTCATTCCACTACCTCATGCTGTCTCTTGGCACACAGTAGGTGCTTAATAAGTGTCTGTTGCTTAATTGGTGAATAACAATGGGTGCTCTACAATATTTACTACGTAAATGAGACTATTGTCTTTCCTTATGCTATTTGTAATCTTCGGTTCAAATGCCACCTCAAACATTAGCGGTATGACCCTGGGTAAGTCACTTAACCTCTTTTAGCCTGTTTCCTCTTGTATAAAATGGGAATAATAATAGCATTTACCTCCCAGGATGGTTGCAAGGTTAAAAGGAGATAATATTTGAAAAGCATTTAGCATACTTACTAGCACATAAAGGCGCTATATAAATGCTAGCTATTTATATTATTATCGTTATTATTATTATTACTATTCAGCTCATGTGCTACCTGCTACAAGTCTTTGTCTTTCCCTTACTGCCACCCCTTTCTTGCCCCCCTCACCTCTATAATATTCTCCCTTTCACTGCTTAAATTACTCTATATTTCCTGCATTTGTATTGTGTATAAACTTCTCTGTGTGTATGTTGATTCTTCTCTATAGAATGCAAGCTTCTGGAAGACAGGAGCTGTCTGAATCACCAGTACTTGCACATGTACTGTATTGCACAGGCATTTTAAATTAACCATTTAAATTAGTGAATTTAACCAAAATAATTATTTTTTCTGCCTTCAATTTTAGAATTGCACATGCATTTCTTTTTAAAAATGATCAAGATGTGGAAAAAAAAAACAACTGCCTTGGGGAAGATCAGAATTATTTAATTTATATTTGCCACTATCCATAAAGGATACACTTCCCAGAGATTCTGTTATCATGCATGGTAGTTCTGAGAATGACAAGAAACCACTAGCCAAAAGGATTGGTTTCTTAATTAAGCAAAAATAGGAAATCTCCCCAAAACTGTAGGATAATTCATTTTACAAATGACTGAGCATATAGAGTTCTATCACTTAGCTTATTAACAAATATACTGCTTTAGGAGCAGCAGAACATTTGGATACTGTGAATGAAGCAGGAAGCATTTTTTTTTACTCTCTTCCACTGAATCTGCCACTAAATAAAGCCACCTAATTTTAGGATTGGCCATCAAATTATAAGGGAGTTAGCGAATTATTTTACTGGATTATTGTGGTTTGGGATATTAGCCAATTGGGGGTTTCAATGCTTTCCCTTGGGCCCAGCAGTTTTTCTTCTAAAGGGAATTTTCTTAGACACCCCACAGTTATCAAACATAGTTATTTTTTTCTGAAAGAACATTCTAGTGCAACAAATTATTTTTAAGACTTTGTATAGGTTTTGTAAAGAAATGCACTTCTGCTTTGCTGAACACTTGCCAAACTGTTATTAAAACTTCTTTGTTGCATTTATATTATGGCTAATAACAAAGAGAAAACACTTTCTCTGGGTTAAAGGAAGTCAATATCCCTTCTGAAAAGCAAGAATTACATCTGAGGTTAAGTCTCTTGCCACTGGCAAAGAAGAGTCTATAAAACAGGAGAGGGCGGCTACATGCCCATCAGTGAAACTGTCTTTATCTTGGTGTCTGTAGGTGGTTTTTTGTACATACTGAAATAGAAATGAGACGAGGATATTGTGATAGAAAAACTAATAGCATTTACATGGCACTTTAAAGTTTGTAAAGTATTTTACATATGTTATCCTATCTTATCCTCATGGCAACCTTGTGAAGTAGGTGGCATTATTATCACCTCTGTTTTACAGATGAGGAAACTGAGACTAAGACGGTTTAAGTGACTTGCTCAGGTTAACCCAGATAACGAACATCTGTGGGCTATTCCAACTTGAATTTCCCTCAGGTCCAGCGTCCACTGAGCCTTGTAGCTGCCCTGAATTTATGCACATAACTAATCCCAGTCCATAGAGAAGTAAGAACATAGAGAAGATAGCAGTGTCAACTGGGAAAATAATACTAAAAATCAAGCTTTCCTGAAAGAGTGGAAGTTACATTCTTTTGTTTTTGTAAACACTTTGTATGATTGGCAAGGAGAAGGGGAAGAAAGAGAATTACTTGATCTTTGCTGACAGAAACAGATCATACATTTAGAATTAACCAACAGCCTAATATTACAGATAAGGAAACTGAAGTTAGTAGAAGTTAAAAAAATTTGCCCAAGGTCATACAGACAAGAAGTGGCAAAGCCAGACTTTGGCTCATTTTCTTTGTCACATTATGGGATGAAAATGAAAATATGTGGGCTATTTTGAAGCAACATTAAGATCCCAGAAGTGGCTTGAGTCTCTGAGCACCAAGAATCCCTGCCCTGGAAGCTTCAGGAGTTATCTAGCCCAATCTACACCTGAACAAGAATTCCCTCAACATCACAGATCACAGATTTATATCTGAAAAGGACCTTAAAGATCATTGAAGTCCAATCAATTCCCAGATTAGGAAATGGACAGGGAATGAGGCAAAGTGACTTTCTTAGGATAACACAGTAAACTGTCTGAAGCAGGGTCCACACCCATATCTTCCTGATAGAATCAGCATTCTGTTGACTACACCACATTGCCTCTAACCCAACATAATAATAACCTCATAATAAACAACAGTTTAGGGGCAGCTAGGTGGTTCAGTAGATAGAGCACCAGCCCTGGAGTCAGAAGGACCTGAGTTCAAATCTGGCCTCAGACCAAACACTTGACACTTACTAGCTGTGTGACCCTGGGCAAGTCACTTAACCCCAATTGCCTAAAAATAAACAAATAAATAAAAAATAAGTAAGTAAATAAATAAATAAATAAGCAAACAAATAAATAAATAAATGACAGTTTATCGTGCTTTAAGGCACTAAATAGAATATATTTACAAAGCATAAATAAAGCACCATCACCATTTCATCTATAGTTAAGAAAACTGAATCCCTCAAATGTTAGGTCTTATCCATGGCCTTACAGCTACTAACTGTTGCTGGCAGAATTTGAACTCAGATGTTTCAGACTCCAGGTCCAGTTCCCGGTATACCACCACTCTCCAAACCTTCCCAACCTATCCAACAAATGATCATCTAACCTTTGTTTAAAAATGATAATAACAGGGGCCGCTAGGTGGCGCAGTGGATAGAGCACTGGCCCTGAAGTCAGGAGGACCTGAGTTCAAATCCAGCCTGAGACCAAATATTTGACACTTACTAGCTGTGTGACCCTGGGCAAGTCACTTAACCCCAATTGCCTAAAAAAAAAAAAAGCAAAAAAAAAATAAATAAAAATGATAATAGCAGCTACAATGAAAACAATTTATATGGTGCTTTAAAGTTTGCAAAATGCTTCACATGAATAAATTATCTTATTTGAAGATCTCCATTGAGAGGATACCCACTATTATAAGACTGTCCATTCTACACTAATTATTAGGAAGTTTTCCTTATGCCAAGCCTATGCAGTTTCTGCATAAATTTCTTGGTCTGTGTCTAGGAAACAAAAGAATGAACTTAACCTTCCCATATGATATCTTTGGGTCTGGTGCCATTTTCTCCTAAGTCTTCTCTTTTTCCTGTTATACAACTTTGGTTCTTTCAACCAATCCTTATTTAGAAAGGCCGGAAGGCCCTTCACCGTCTTGATTGCAACTCCTCTGCATGTAATCCAGCTTAACCATATCCTTCCCAGATGGCTCTGGAGGAACAGGTGAGGGTAGTGACCTTGCACAGCCCTCCCTCACTTAAATCTAATTCACTTGCATGTCGTGGCATCACTTCCATGATGTCATGGTCCTCTTCAAAAATAAAGGACAAGGGGCAGCTAGGTGGTGCAGTGGACAGAGCACTGGCCCTAGATTCAGGAGGATCTGAGTACAAATCTGGCCTCAGATACCTAACATTTACTAGCTGTGTGACCTTGGGCAAGTCACTTAACCCCATTACCTAGCCAAAAGTAAATCAATAAATTAATAGATAGATAGATAGATAGATAAATAGATAGATAGATATATGAATAAAAATTAAACAAAAACAAAAACAAAAATAAAGCACAAACAACAATAATCCTTCCTAAAATGTGGTTCACAAAAAGGAACACAATCCTTCAGATATGGTCTGATCAGAGACAGTGGGACTGGTACCCACCCTGGTGCTCCCATAATTCTGTTATGCCCCTAAATATTACGTTAACTTTCTCAGCTTGGAGATCCATGACTCTGGCCTAATTTCCAGTTCACTAAAACTTTGAGATCTTTGTCAGATCAAACAATCAAAAGACAGTTAGTAAGTGCCTACTGCGTGCCAGGTACTGTGGATTTAAAGACAAAGATATAAAAGTCCTTGACCTCAGGGAGCTTATATTTGATAGTGTGAGATAGAATGTACATCTCCTTGGCACTTAACAAAGCACCTGGCACACAGTAGGTGTTTAATAAACGATTGCTGATTTGCATATTGTTGCTGTGTTATTCAGTTGTTTCACTTGTGTCCCACTCTTTGTGACCCCATTTGGGGTTTCCTTGACAGAGATATTGCAGGGGTTTGCCATTTCCTTCTCCAGCTAATTATACAGATGAAGAAACTAAAGTAAACAGGATTAAGTGACTTGCCCAAGGTCACCCAGCTAGCAAGTATCTAAGGTTGGATTTGAACTCAGGCTTTGACT